TTTTCTGTCTGTAGGTGTGTTCGAGCAAATCACGTATTCTATATATATATTTCAAGAGTTTCGTACGTTTTTCTTTAACCATATATATGTTACTTTTCCACCACCCTCTCTTCATAAAAGTGCTTAGCCTTCTCGATCAGTTTGCTAAATTTCCACTCCAACCAGTTTTCTTTTTCTTTCTTGCTTGTCTTGCGCATAACTAGTCTACTCAATTAGGTTTTTATTGGTCCTGGTGCATGAACCAGGCCAATGGTATCTGACTATCTTGGATTCTGGGAACCACAAATCTTACACTGGGAGCTGTTTTATTGCTCTCTTCAATTCAAAAGCATCCACCAATATTCAATGTATAGGCCAGTAGTCGTTAGAAGACATAAACCAGTCAGCTAGGTCCTAATATACATCGATATCGGTAATGCTTTATTTCGTATGACTTGTATTACGAAACAAATGTTTATATTGTCAGACTGAACAATATGCATTCCGGGACAATACTAATGCATCCTTTGGGATCAAAATTCCATCTCATTTCCTAAAGAGAATCAGTCGGTGAAAATGGTGCAATTATGTAATATCCTGCATGGGGGGTTTATGCAATGAATTGACCAAAATTTTCAGGAGAAAAGTGGTGATCATATAAGTTGTGTTAGTGCCTGCCAAGTTGAATGGACAAACAAAGTGTTGTTGGATGGTTTTCCATTTGCAATTGGACCCGAGGATTGTGGAGAAACCAAGTTGCGCATACGTCAAACAAATCCCACATCAACATCTTATGTGGCTTCGACCAAACAAAAAACTACTTATGTGGTGTGGCTACAGGCTACAGGCTACAGCATATGATATTATATTATATTATAACTGGCAAAAGCAGTGGCAAGCCACACGCAACAAGGCCTAGGGGGCAGGCCAGCCACATATATAACCCTAAATTAAACTCCATGTCACTTGTCTTGCTGTCACCACCCAGAATGAGACAGTCCTCTCTCCACTTGCACATCCTTTCCTCTAAACTCATCAATAATCCATGTCATATTTCCATTTTATACCTCCCGTGTCCATGTCGATTTTCCATTTTCTACAAGTTTTGGGAAAAATAATTCATTTATTACTTTGTCAAATTAAATAAAGTAATTATAAGCTTATAGATACGTTAATTCTGCAAAAAATTTGATGTGATGAGAATGACAATAGATCGTATCATGTTAGGATCATATACTTGTCAAGAATGCTCTATTTAAATTCGATCCATTTAATAAACGTGTCGTGTCGGTTTTGACCCACTAATTTCCCGTGGGGATTACGAGTCGTGTATCAAGTTGACACGCTAAGTGGTAGAAACTAAAATACATTTAAAAAAAAAATAGAAAAATGAGTAATAAACAAAGAAACGTGTTAGCGGGTTGACCTGCCATGATTTGTTTTTTTTAAATGGGTTATATAAGTATTTTAGCATGTTGATGGATTGATCCGAAACCCACCAATTTATTAAACGGATCATGCTAAGTTGACCCAAAAATTTAATCGTGTTGATTTTGAGTCGTGTCTGAAATTGCCATGATTGCAATGAAAATTAGGGTAGCGGATACTTTATGAGGAAGAAAACAATGGAAAAATTAATTGTGTCGACATTGGTTTCCATTGCATTGTCTTTTTCATCTTTTCACGTCGAAAACTGCGGCTAACATTGTGTGACATTTTAATTGCCATGTGAATTTAATGGCCTTGTGAGAGGCCATGCTCAAAATTCCAAAGGAATGTTTTGCTTCTTTTTAATAAAGTAAAAGTGGAGTCGGTGTAGATTGTCCTACATCCATTGTATATCATAGAACATGTCCAGCTGAATTCATGTCTAGAGCTTAGAGGTCATGCATGCATATGTATACCTTTTTGCATGGAGTCTACGTTTTGCAAGGAATAAGGTTAATGGGTGATGCACTTAATTAACATGCAAATTATTTGGAGCATAAAATTCCAACTCCTGAAATCTTCTCTTGCCAACAATGAGGGAGGGGTTATCTACAAGAAAACACTATGTCGCTCGAGTTAGCAAGAATTCAAGAAGATTATAGTATAGTTTAGAATAATTTGTTTGTTGGTGAGTTAATTGGTCTTATGTAGACACTGAAATCCTGGGCTCGAAGTCTCATGTTCATTATTGTTTCTCTCCCACGATCAACTATCATTCCATTATGCTTGTCTTTAGTCACAACGAGGCACAAGACATGTTTGTCGTGGTAGGCCTTGGCCATCAAGTCCCACTATAATCTCATGATTTTATTCACATGCGATCATGAATAGAAAATGGAAAAACTATGTTGCTTGATTGTAGCTCTATTTTCCCAAATTTAGCCGTGCTAATGGACATATTTCTTGAGGAGTAATTTTAGCTCGCACAAAATTAAACTAATATTTTAGGCCATTCAAATGCATATATAGTTGTATATAATGATCATTCAATGGGTTGATCAAGATGAGGAGGCACTAGTAATACAGAGTAGGAGAGCGGGAAAGGGCACATCATAGAAAGTGAAATTGACATCCATTTAGTAAGGGAGGTGACCATTTACCAGACATGTCACAATGTATCTGGCTAGAATCAGTTTATACAAACCCCAACTAATCTCTTTATATATCACATTACCTTTCAAACAAGTATATATGTTCACTCAAGCATCGCAGAATATAATTGGTCACATTGAGTAGAAAGTTGAACTAAGTTTAGATATTAACACAACTTATCATCTTTATCATGAAATTATATTGCCCCTACCTTACGCAACATTGCCTGCGAATTTCGGGCTCAAATTGATGCATCGATCGGTAAAAATCAAGTTTGAAAGGACCTTTTTTTGTATTAATTGTAACATGATTTGAATGCAAAATAAATATCCATATATGGTGTGGTGACAAATCACTTCTAAAGTCATGTCCAAGTTTTCAACCAGATTGTGATGCCTGGAAAAAAAAAATACAAACACAAATTAGGCAGTGATTGTGTGAAGAACAAACTTAGCTCTATCATGTGATCACCTTTATTAGGGCACTTGGCTGCTTTGATGGGCTCAACTCAAGTGCCAACCAATGGCCTAACTTTGGCCCTAGTTTGGTCTTGGAGTAACTGAAACAAACAAACTATTGCTCTGATCGAACACAACATAACAAGAAGCACAAGCCACCAAGAAGCAACTTGTGTCCATGGGCCTACCCAAGTTGAACAAACTTGAAGCATTTTGAACCACTAAAAAGACCCATTCGTCCTACACCCAAAACCCTTTTGCCCTTCTGAATCCAATTCGAATGTATGGTTGGCTTCATCTCTATCTAGGTTCATGTTAATCTCACTCTCACCAACAATGTATGCTAATTGAAGACATAAGCTTAGCCAAGTTGGTTAAAGTGGATGTGCTTCTCATTCTGCACCCGAGTTCGAATCTCCCTCTCAGTAATTCAGATGAATTTAAAGTAGATTATAGCTTGTATTAAAAAAAAAACAATATATACTAATTATTACAGGGCATGTTGCACATTTTGGGTTGGTTTGTATGGTTCATATTTTGGTGATTTGAGAGGCTTTTAGATACCTCGTGAAGCAAATATACAAGAAGCAACTAAAGTAAAATACACATAAAAGTTAGTCTAAAGGTTTTGCTTTCCCAACTTATTTTGGGATCAAATTAAGGTCGATTGAAGCACTTGGGGTTAGTCCAAGTGATGAGGAAGAATAGGGTAATGAGTTAGGTTCGATGCCCTCCAATGTAACCAACAAAACTGAGTTCGTATATATTAGTGAGAATGACCATTTCTTATGCATCTCCAAAGGGACCCTCAACAGACATAAATTTTAAAAAATCAAGAGAAATTAATTTTTCTCTTACAAAAATATTGAATATATTTTTTTTTTTTTTTTTTTTTTTTTTTTTTTTTTGTTGAAATATAGTTTAGACGTGATTAATGGGTCAGCCAGGCCCACAAACCGAGATTGTAAGGCCCAATATCCATTTCCAAACCCACTTACTGAACCCGGCAAGCCTTGGCGCCTTTACTCAATGCTTGTCGTTAAAACCGCTTCCTGCATACCCAAATCCCTATAAACGACGCCGTCAGCTCCGCCGCGGGATTCACTACAACCCTAGTCAGCATAAGTTTGTGGCTTTCGGCGCCGGTAAATATTCTTACTCTTTCTTGATTTCAAGCTTTCATCTTGTTGGATGAAATTATGCAAATTGATTTGTTTTAGGGTTTCTGTCCCCTTCTGCACCAAAACAGAAAAAATTTGGACGTGATAATTGAAATCGCTCACTGCCTAAATTGGTTTTTGATGATGTTTAAAAAGCAAAATGTAGGAGAAAGGGGTCGTGTAGCAGGGTTTTAGGGTTCCACTGGATTGGGCCTAAATCACAAACTACATTCTTTCAATAACATAAGCTTTGCTTACAACAGCAAGCCCATGATGAAAGAACATATCCCAGTTGTAGCTAATGACAATCCAAGAGCTGGGTAGACCCTTTTTGTCCATAGATCAATGCCCATAGGTTTTCTAATCAGTTGTAATTTTTTGTACCTTGATGCATTTGGTGTTGTATATTTATCTGTGTGCAACATTCTTATTCCAATTGGCAACTTATTCATCAACCAATCATAGGTTGTCTAAGAGTGTGTTTTTCTCTATGTTAGTGAATGACTGTACTTGTTTTGTATTTGAGAAAATCTGCTGTGTATGGGCTTAGCCTAGCTGGGGCACTGACCTGTCTGATCCTGGTTCAGATTGATTTACAAGCCTTTTACTTGCATTAGAACTTCCTTTAATAATTTAGTTGCCTGTCAAACCATAGAATTGTTAAATGTCTTATGAATGCTGCTAGATACCGTTTTGAGTACTTACTAGAAAGTAGAAACCATTTAGTGTAGTTCTCAAAAATGTGTTTTGCAACTATTTTGTTAATTTATTTTTTCTAATTGTTTTTGTCGCTAACTCTTAAGGATTTTTTATTTTCAGGAAGATGACTAAGTTGACAATTTTGACTAATTATGATGGGAAGTGGGTTAATTCTTTATATAAGGGTGGTAAAATGAAGGCATTAGTTGCTGAAAAAGTTACTTATGAGGATGTTCAGGATAGACTGCATGATATTGTCAGAGTAGATCCAAATGAGTAATGGAGTTGTAATAAAGGCTGTATATTGTGGAAAACTCTTACCTATCCTGTGGAGGTAGTAGATAATGGTGATGTGACTGCTTTGATTTGTGAGAGTCCTGCACGAGACTGGAAAATTCCATTGTGCATTACTGTTGAACATAGGGTATTAGTTGCGGGAAGTGGGAGTGTTGAACGTGTTCCAATCTGCCTTGCAACTCAAACTACCAAATCTCATTCATGAGGTCCGCACACTGACCTGAAGAACAAAATTCCATTGCAATCAATGCAGATCCAGTGCCAGTGGACTTCACTTCAGAGACTCAAGCAAATTCGGATTGTGGTGATGGATTGATCCTTGATGATTTGGAAAATGATAAGCCGCATGATAATATAGAAGTTTATGTGGAACGTAACAACCTGCGACATGATGATGTGCCTCATGACAACCTGTAATTTAATGAGATGCCTCGTGCCAGCTTGCAATTTGATAATGTGCTTCATGACAGCTTGCAATTTGATGTGCCTTGTGACAATATGCAACTTGATGATGTGTCTCTCAATCCTCCTAATTCACCACCTTGTGCTCGATATTCACTTAAACTCACAGAAAAAGGGTTAATGCGATACTGAATGCAGAGGGAGATATACAGAAGAAGTTAGGCCTGCTGCTGGCAAAAAAAAAAAAAAAAAAAAAAAAAAAAAAAAAAAAAAAAATGGTTTCTTCATTAAAAAAACAAAATACAAAACAGGAAGGGGAACTGTTTGAAGTTGAATGTGCAAATGACAACTCTAATGCATACAAGTCTCCAGACTCTGAGAATTTTATGATAAACAAGATATCATAGCCACCGCTCTTGTTCATGAGATGCTATTCATCAGAGTCTTCAACAAGCGAGCTGGTGGCTTATTGGTCAGTATTAAAGTCGAAGTACAAGGGTGTTCCGTGTCAATACAAACCAAAAGATATCGTCGAGGATTTGCAGAAAGATCTTGGGGTAAATATAAGTTATAGGAAAGCTTGGATGGCTAGCCAATATGCATTAGAAGATATCAGGGGACCACCAAAATAATTTTCTTGTACACGGCAGTCATGCGAAGGGCACAAGAAGGAAGGAATTAAATCTCTTGGAGAAGAGCAGTCTACGCGGAAGTGTGGGAAATGTGGTGCAACTGGTCATTACTGTAAAACCTACAAGAACCGTATTACTCTTCATATCAATTCCGAAAGTGAGTGTGCTACCTCGAACTGAAACATGAATTAGCCTAAAGTTACTTCAGTAATTTATTATCTAAAGAAAATGCATTGTAATCTTTTCTAATGTTGTAATCATCTCATGCTTACTTTACTGACATTAAGGATTGAAACCAGCTCAAAATATCTTCAAGCAATGCACCTGAAACAAAGAATGCAAACATGGTTTTGAAGTACTTTAATCAAAGCTCTTTTGAGCCAGCTTGAAAATGTTTCAAGTATAGAACCCGAAACCATTGTAACATTTGAAATGGTTTTGAAAAGGCTACTTGAAACAATTTGAATCCAACCTAAAAATGGTTTCAAGGTCAGTATTTTGTTTGATATCATCAATGATATTGACGAGAACTACTCAAACTGCAATTAATGGGGCTTGTTATGGTTTTGAGTAGTCTTTTGACATCCTCAGTACATCATTTCGGCGTTAAATGCCTGTTTTATTGCAGCAAAGTGATAGGTAAAGGCTTACCCTCAAAAGATGTTACCATGTGCCACGTGAAAAAGATGTTATTTTGCCTTCCTGCTCCAGCAGCAAAGAATGGCGGTGTGCGAAGGTAAGTCTTGTCTCTCTATTCTATTTTTGTGTTTGTATGTTTTATTTTTTGTTTCAAGAGTATTTTGGTCACTTAAAGTCAACCCGGCTTTCCAAAAAAAAAACAAAAAAGAAAAATGAAAAGAAGGAAGAAAACTGTAGGTAGATATAATTAGAAAAGCCAGATCTAAAATCTCCTTAAATTAGGAGAAAATGAATATTCCATATTTGAGGATTTTTATAATTGCTTAGACTTACTTAGGATGTTAGCAGTTTGATTATGAGTTGTGTCAATTTTGTTCTTATAGGTTTAATTTGAGTGTTTAGTTTTTAAACGTCTTTCATATTGGTAACAAGTTTTAATTTAGAAAGTTTCTATTGTCTGCTGGTTTGTTAACAATTACAAAGTTTGATGAATGGCAATTCTCTATAGTTTTGAACTTATCTTAAACTATACTTCTGTGAGATCATGATCTTCAAACTTATATATGTTTACAGAACCTGCATATATATATATATATATATATATATATATATGTATATGCATTAAGCATAAAAAGACATGTGCGTGAATGCATGCACAGACATCCTAATAAAGTTCCCCCAATTGAGAGTTTCAAAGTGAACTACGACCCCAAAATATCAAACCAAGTAAGGCTATGTTTTACTCGTACTTATATGGGTTATAATACCCTTATCATACAATTGGTCTAATTACATAGTACATTGTAATCTAACCTTGTCTGAAATTATAATAAATGTAATGACAAAAGGAGATTTAAGCAAACGAAGAAATAAGCCAAGAGTCGATTATGCACTCTATGATGTTAAGGCCAATTCAGCTCTAATGATGCTTTTACACTGCAGCATCCTGTTGTACGTGAGCTTCTAAATGACTTAAGATATATGTGCACACACAGTACGTGAGCTTCTACATACACCAAAATAGGCCGTACCTGGTGTTGTTTCTGGCAAAGAAAGGTCCTAGGAACAGAGATTGGAGGTCCTAAGCTTATTATGTGTGAACCAAGGTAAACATGATACAAGACAGCTGAAGTGGACTCAAACGTATTCCTTTGCAAAATGTTATTTAAACACAAATTTACTACAGTGGACTAAGACAAGGTGATTATGAGCTGTCAGATATAGCCAAGCAAATACTATAAAAATTGATGACTTAATCAACTTCTGCTCTTAAAGGGTACTTGACTGCTATTGATCTCTGCATTTCTGGTCTCACATGATTAAACCTTGTCAGAGGCATATGAGTGACCACTCCCCTGTGTTTCTATTCACTATACATCCACATTCAAAACTGGAATGAGTTACTATCTGAAATCCTTGGGAATTGCAGGCTATTAAAGAAAGAACTATGCCTGCATTTTACAAGTATTGAATATGACACTGAGGCACCTGTTTTCATTCTACATTTCTTTGCAACTTGCAATTTCCAATATTATCCTCTAACAGATGCAAAAGGTGTTAGTGACAGGTTGTTTCATGACCCTGGTCATAGCAGGTGTACTATCTGTAGTTCTATGACATTTGTTTTGCAAGGTGTTCATGCATTGTTGATTTTTTTAAGCATTAATGGCTCTTCTTCATTCAGATTCTTGCCGATAGGACTGCTTTAAAGTTTCTCCTGCATGAGCTTTTCGTGGCAACTTTTTTTTTCCCGTTTGTATTCTGTGTGTTCTTTTCTCAAATGCGCTTTTATGAGAATTGTCGTTTACCATTTATTATTCTTAACCACTATGTCCTGTAGCTTCCCTGCAAACTGATACAATAGAGGTAAGGAGCAAGGCACTCTTCCTCATCGCTTCATTGTTTGTGCTTCTGCTCCTGCTAGTTTTTATCTTCTTCTTCTTTTCCTTCTTCTGAAAGGCCTCATTAAGGGTCTCCGTGTTTGCTCCAACAATGAATTTCCTTTTGACCCCTGACAAAGGAAAGGAAGAGAAGCATGTGGGTGTCCAATGCTTGTATTGCAAAAAAGTATTCAAAAATCACCAGGCTCTGGGGGGCCATCTTAGCGCTCATCAGGAAGAGATGAACTCAAAGAGGAGCTGGAATTATCCTAGCCATTTCAGCAACTCAGTAAGCATTACTAACAATAGTCCTCAACCTTTCAGCATTCGTCATCCTGAAATTTTTTCTGGAGGCCCTCTCTCCAGTGAGGTAACCCCTCCTTTGGATTTCTCCAAGAGACTCTACTCAAATGAAAATAGCTGGGTGAATATAAGCAGGTTCTATGAGAACAATACGAGCGCTATGCCTCCAAAATGTTCATCTAGTAGTGGTCATGCTGAAATCCAAAATTCTAAACCTTTATCCTTCATAGCACCTGCTCCCTCTGGTAGCATGATACCAATTAGTGTTCCTTTGGATCCTCCATTCTGTTTGGTCTCAAATGGAGTTTGTCAGTTTAATACTGATCAATTTCGATCTTTTAGGGATGGTATGCCATCTTTTTCTGCAAATGCCATGCCATACTTTCAGGATCACAACTGTGGTATGATTCCATATCCTGTGAATGCTGTAACTGGTCTTCATCCAGATCTCAGCTCAAAACAGTCACTTTGCTTCAAGGAACCTATTACTATTGGTTCCTTGCCTCCAGATCCCAGTGAATCTTCAGGCCAAGGTGAAATTGGTCGGTATAAGACACAAACTGTCTCAACCTCTAAAGGTTGCAAGAAGCACTGCATAGGTGGAGCCGGAGGAAGTGCTGCTGAGATAATGAATCCTTCAAAAAGGCCTAAGAAAAACTCCGAGTTGTTGATGGAAACAGATAAGCCTCCACATCCCAGTCAATCTTCAGACCAAGGTGAAATTGGTCAGTACGAGACACAAATTCTCTTAACCTCTAAAGGAGGTAAGAGGCACTGCTTAGGTGAAGCTGGAGGAAGTGCTGAAATGATGAATTGTCAATGGAAAAGGCCTAAGATCAACTCCGAGTTGTCAATGGAAACCGATAAGCCTCCCAAGAGAGAGCTTCTTCTTTTTAAAGATTTGGAGAACTGCTTTTCCAGGGCAGGAATATCTTCTAATGCGGGAGAAGAGGAAGGCCAAATGGATCTCGATCTCTCTCTACATCTGTAGCTTCATACTGGTCTTATTTATACATAACTCCAAGTGACAATGGAAACAGATAAGCCTCGGAAGAGAGAGCTTAAATTTCTTTTAAGATTATGAGGACTCCTTTCTGGGTCGTGTATGTCGTTTTATGCGAAAGAGGAAGGCCAAATAAATCTAGATCTATCTCTATATTTGTAGCTTTATACCTGCTTTGTTTATACAATGTGTTTTCTAGCAGTGAATATATATATATATATATATATATATATATGGGTTTGATAGAAGGAATGAACTCTCTCTCTCTCAAATGAAAAGAAAATTTTATTTATTTATTCATTAATGCCTTCATATTTTTACTGAATCTATCGTTTTCTTTTTGTTCTTAAACAATGCCAATAATTTAATTCTATACTCCTTTTTATCCTTGGAATTGCCATTAATTAACATTAAAGGTGTCAAATAAAGCAGGGAAGCATTGTTTTCATTTATATTTCCTTGCAAATAGTTCTTATATTGAAATAAATGTTTTTTTAGGCAAATAGACAGATATGGTTGTTGTGACTGTGCCTCTTTGGTTTATTACTAATTATAGTGTGCGCCTTGAATTTTGGTTTTAAAATACTGGTGAAGTTATTGATCCAATTCAAACTTGGTTAAGCCTTAAGTGCGTCTTGGATTATTGTTGTCCAATGCAGTTTTAGTCTGTATCCTACAAGGTTTTCAAGTATTGGGTTCCCTCTTTCTTTAATATCTTCTATTATGCATAGAATTTTCTGATTTATCTTACATGAGTTGTAAGCAACAAGTTCATTTCTGTTATCTTTAATAAGGTTATACAGTGGAGTAAAGTACTGCCGTATTGGTAACTTGTATATGTTCCTTGCTTTCTCAGAAATGCTTGTTATTGTTAATTCTTAAACCTTTTGCAGTCGCATGCCTACAGAGAATTCTATGGTATGCACGCTGTTGAGTTATTTTGTCAAGTATGTATTCATCTCTCTTTCTTATCATTGTTCTTTTGACATAATGGTCTTATTTCCTCAATTTTTGGGTCAGTGATAGCAACGGCTCCTTACTAGTTAAAAAGCAGCTTGCCCTGGAGATGCTTTTGGTACCAGCTTTAATTCGTCTACTCTTTCTTTTGGTTTTCTGTTTATTGTGCTTGAATATTTGAGCAGTAAAAAGTTCGACCACATTAAGCATTGATAGCTGTGCTCAGACTATCAGAATTTTATTACTTGAGCATTTAATTAACATGTGTGTTGCTGTTTCCTTGTTTCTTTTAAATGATCTTGTTAGGCTTCATTGCTTTATTTTTATGGAACCATCACAGAAAACTTCTTGCCTCTTTTCTTTTCTTTCTTTCTTTCTTTGTCGATTGGAAATTGTTTTGTTTTTATGAAGATCATTCATGATCAAGGATATTAACGAGCAGTTGGAATCATTTGTCAAGATAATGCCTCCTGTAGATTCTTATTGGAAATACATCCTTGTCTGTTTTTGGTCTGCATTGGAAGTTTATCCTGTGTGGCTCAATACAGCAAGAGTTTATTCAAGTTTTCGCCAACCTTGTTATGGAATTGTAGAAGAGGATTTACATTCATTTGCCACCTCGTTTTGACAGGTGCATGCCTTTTGAGGTGGCAGGAAATAAGATTTAAGAAAATAACATAAGACGATTCAGGTAGGAAATTTTACTCATTTGTTAATGGTCACCACTGTTCCAGATTTACTCATCTGTTAAAAATTCAGTTTGGTTTACATTTCTTTTTATGGTAATTGAATGAATTGTATAACCACAAAACAAGGGGCCAACCCCTATCAGCAAATTTATTACTGCACTGGTAAGTATATTTGGTTTTACTTTTTCTCTCAGCCTTCTTTATTAGTTACTGCACTGGCAAGTAAATTGTGGCAGATCGGATCTTCCTGTCATCTTACTGAAATAAGCAGACAATCCCCAAGTTACGTTTTCTTGAATTTCTGCAAACTTTGCATGTTTTGCCAAAACTTAGAGCTGAGAAACACAAAGGGGAAGCTCCAATTCTAATCCAACAAGAATAGGAATAGCACTATGATCTGTAGCAGGTGCGAAAATGACATGCCTACAAGCAGCAAATGCAGTGACGTAAATTGGTTGGACTTCAATGGGATTGGGGGGTTCCAAAAGCCATGCTCGTTTCATGGTCATCAGCCCTCCATCCAATATCATTTGATAATTTGATTTAATTTGATTTGATTTGGACCAAACCAAACTCATTATAAGAGATCTTATTGGGATGGTAGGATGAGGTGCCGTGGAGGAGGTAGGTTTTGAGCAAGCAAATATTATGTGTATTCGGTTTGATTCCCACTTGCCTTTCTTTCCTTTTCAATATCGTCTCTCACTCTCTCTCTCTATGCTTAAAGAGTAAAATACCGAACGTATCTCAAAATTTAGACCACCAATCCATCTCTTTCTGGTTAATGAGATGAGACAGCCCTTTTCCCTTTTTTTCTTCTTCTTTTTTTGGGTTAAAGGAGAATAGTGGTATCTTTCTTTTTTATCCGTCTGATTACCTCCACTCCAAGGTTCAGTTTTCTAGATCAAAAATATTGTGTTCCTTTCATTCAATTTTATGCACATAGTACTAGTTTAATACACATGGTTGATTTGTTTCTCAACAACTCATACATTTTTCTTTGATTATAAGAGGAACATCATATTCAATGACCATCGTAGAACCCAGGGACGGTCCCTAGAAGGGACTCTAGGGACCGTCCTGAGCTATATCATCCTAAAATTTAATTTAGCCCATTTATGCCTACTAATGACAATCATGCCACTTCAAATTCAAAGACTCACATGTTCATCGCTCATCTAACAATACACTCAAGGAAAATAAGATGAGACAAACTAATGAATTAAATTCTCTATAAAATTCTCTCTAAAATGAAAAGTATTTCCGTCTTGTTATTACTTTTAGTCTACTGCCAACTTCTTTTTATTTATATATTATTTTTATGAATAGTCTATTGCTAATTTTCCTTTCACTGATAACCCTCTTCACATATATTTAAGTGAAAAAAGTTAAATAAATAAAAGAACAAATTGGTAAGCTACAGTAGTTGCACCTTTATGTTGCACTCTTCGGTGTGTATATAAAGTAAATTTAACCCACCATATTTTAAAATCTTAGGTCCATCCCGAGAAGAATCGAAAAAGACGTATGTGAAAATTCTATGTTACACGTAGAAACAACCAAATTTCTCCTCAAGTAGAAACAACTAAATTCTAGTTCAAATGTACTACATAATGAAACCACATTAATAACGTTATAAATTAAGTAACTACGAAAAAAGAAGTATAGTTAAATTAAACGTGCAAGTGGTAACAACGTCTAGAGTTGAACTTGAACATAAAATAAAATTCTGGATTAAACATAACACTTTTTAGCTAAGAGGCTTAAGCCTAGAGTCGATCTTCCTTTTGAATCTTCCAAGTAAGAGTGCACAACTTGCTACACCTTCATCAAGGTGCGTGAGAATCACCGTCCAGCTTATGCTTTTTTTGCTGAGCACTCTTTCCTCCAATGACTCGCTCATTTGGCGCGTAGTTTTTGCTTAATCTAGAATCAAAGAACCATGTTTGCCAGAAAATTAAAAAATATTCTTTATGAGGAAGAATAGCCTGATGGGTCACCCTCTCTATTGGGATGCAATAACCAGACCTCTATAAATCTCATAAAGTCACCATCTTTAATAATAATATCTCAGCTTTTTCTGGTTGTAAGTTATTGTTGTTGTAAGTTTCCTTCTCCTTCTTCTTGTCTCTGCTATGTTGGTTTTGTTAATAAGTTGTACAGCTTATTTATGTTCTGGGTTCAGTGTTTGATGGATATTCAAGCTGATAAGGCCACAAAAAGTCCATTGATATGTGATTTTCGAACTGGGTTTTTGTCGGCGGTTGGACTTTTTCACGATAGAGGACAAAGAGCTTAGATTTTGCGCTGCTTCTGAGGTATTGTTTTATGAATTTGTGAATTTTGGGTGTTTTCTGTTCCTCTCACCAGTAGGATGAAATTTCATAGCATTAGATTTTGAATTTGCTGTCTTGATTGGCCACAGTGGTTATGGTGTACATAAAGTGAAGAAAAGCTTTTTTTTTTCTTTTCATACATGTGAGTTAAGTTTGGATGTTTAGATGGTCGTTTATTTGTATGTTCGTATTCTGATCCTGTAAAGGGTTTGGTGCTCTACTTTTATGTAAATTTGGATTTTGGGATTCCTTTTGTATGCACAAAAACTGTGAAAGCTTACTTGAGGATTCGGAATAAATTTGTTTCTCTGGATTGGGATTGGATTCTGTTAGTTTTCTTAGTAAAGACTATCACAGGCAATAAATTGCAGTTGAAGTAAGGGCCTCCTCATTTTTTTTGAAGTGCCTTGATATACTTTGCTCAAAAGGAGAAAGATGCAACGGGTTCGATTGTCCTCCCAACAGGCACCCGTACACAAGCTAGGGGATTCTCAAATTACATTATCCCCCAAGTTTAGGTTAGCGGTTATCCAATCTTCTTTGTTGAATCCTTCCCCAGACTTAGAGTTATCTCACGGGGGAGAACCCCTCATTCCGGGCCTTCCTGATGATGTTGCACTTAACTGTCTCCTTCGGCTTCCAGTCCAGAGCCACACAGCAAGCAAAGCTGTCTGCAAGCGTTGGCATCTACTGCTTGGTAGTAAAGAGCGGTTTTTCACTCGAAGAAAAGAATTGGGCTTCAAAGACCCTTGGCTTTTTGTCTTTGCCTATCATAAGTGCACTGGAAAGATTCAGTGGCAGGTTCTTGATCTCACTAATTTCTCTTGGCACACTATCCCTGCCATGCCCTGCAGAGAAAAAGTTTGTCCCCATGGATTCAGATGTGTTTCAACTCCCCGTGATGGCACTCTCTTTGTTTGTGGTGGAACGGTCTCTGATGCGGATTGTCCACTTGACTTGGTGCTGAAATATGAAATACAGAAGAATCGGTGGACTGTGGTGAATCAGATGATAAGTGCTAGGTCATTTTTTGCAAGTGGAGTTATTGATGGGATGATTTATGTGGCTGGAGGAAACAGTACAGATCTTTTTGAGCTTGACTCAGCTGAGGTTTTGGACCCTGTTGAAGGGACTTGGCATCCCATTGCGAATATGGGAACAAATATGGCCTCTTATGATGCAGCAGTTCTCAACGGAAAGCTTCTTGTTACCGAAGGCTGGTTGTGGCCTTTCTATGTCTCTCCCAGGGGTCAGGTTTATGATCCAAGAACTAATAATTGGGAGAGTATGGCTGTTGGACTGAGAGAAGGCTGGACAGGTTCAAGTGTGGTGATTTATGGCCATTTGTTTGTGGTCTCAGAGCTTGAAAGGATGAAGCTTAAAGTTTATGATGCGGATACTGATAAGTGGGAAGCAATAGAAGGGCCCCCTTTGCCAGAGCAGATATGTAAACCCTTTGCTGTGAATGCCTGCGATTGCAGGATATACGTTGTGGGTAGGAACCTTCATGTTGCTGAGGGTCACATCTCAAGGGTTAGCCGTAAAGGAACTTGTGAGAAGAAGTGGTGCTTTGGTGTTCGATGGAATGTGGTTGATTCCCCAGATTGTTTCTCTGACTTGACACCCTCAAGCTCACAGGTCCTGTTTGCTTAGCTTTTCATGTTTCATCACTTTGTATGTCCTTAAATAAGTTTCTATATAAAATACTTAAGCTGTACTGAGCTATAATGGTTGTGTGTAAAAGGGTTTGGTGGTTATTGGAATGTATGAATTTAAGTATATGGTTGTTCATCCTTTGATTTTGCCTTCCGTTCTTGCCTTCATCCCTCAATATGTGTTGCGTCTACAATTGAAAAGTAATTCAGATAGATTGCCCTGCTTCTTCTGCATCATGAAGTAGCAGGTTTTTTTCTTTACAGTTGAGGTGGAGAAAAGATTATTTAGATCTCATTCCATGTTTTGAATATGATACTTAGATGAGTGGTTTAGGTGCTAGAGCATCTGCATCAGAAGTTTTAGTGCTTAACATTTATGGGGATTGACACGTAGAACAGATTGATCGCGAAGTTGTGAGCTTCAAAGAAAAGGGTGAACAAACAAATGAACAGAAAGCTTAGGTATACAGCTGTCCCTGAACGAAACTTTTAAGTCCATGGTCTTTTGAGTTCCATGGTTGTTCAAATATTAATTGTTTCTAAGTGTTGCTGTATCAAAAGCTTAAATTAGGAAATAATGATTCATTTCTGGCATCTGAGGTTGAGAGAAGAGCCGAGTTTGGGGGGTAAAAATGACACCACATCAGAGAGAATGAAGCAAAGCAACAGCTGGTGCAACAGTGACAGACATACAATGTGGTCACCTTCAAATAGTAGTTGACTAATAGCTTGGAGTGGAAGAAACCTTGTAAATTAAATGAGAATTCTTGCAAATTAATAGCTTGAGGTCAGCATTGGCGCTCAGCGGTCAAGAATGTCAGGGTCTGGTCTGGGGTGAGCTTGAAGGAGGACTTGGTGTGCTCGCTGAGGCCGAAAAGGGAAGACCTAGCTTTGGGGAGGGAGGAGGAGAGCTGGATATGTATTAGTCCTTCTTGTGGGATTTCCCATCTTTGGTGCTTTGAGTCTGTTATTCGAATTCTTAGCCGATCTTTGGTTTCATTCATAGCTGCATGCATGATTAGCACAAGTGCCAATCAGATTTCTAACATAAACGTGTGAAAAACTTGTCTCCGATCTTTTGGTACGTGTAATTTGCAAATTTGGTTAATTTCTTGACCCATTTGACATAAAGGTAAAAAGAACTTATGATCTATATATCTATATATGATATAGGATTAGGGTGTTCCAATTGGATTAGGATTCTAGTCGGATTTGTTTGGTCGTTCATCTACATATCTATATGATCCTTTATCCACTAATCCATTTAAATGCAAATAATTAAAATAAAAATAAAAATAATTATCTTCTATGGATAAGATAAAATAAAAGTTCGAACAAAGAAGCCTTATCTTTCCTTCCTTATTTCAAGTAGCAATAGAAACAAAGTAATAACATTATATTTTGTCCGAGGATAAACAACACAAAAGGATAATCAAGACAATAATTTTTCTAATCCTTCTATTTCTTCATTATCCATGCGGACCCTTCTACAACCACTATAAATATTACACGCCAAACTTGATCACCATACTCACAATCACTCTTTCAGACCAAAAACAAATACTCACAATCACTCTACAACAATTCACCATGTTGAGCCGCAGCGGAGGGGCCATTCGTCGTCGTCCAGGTACGCTTTACATTTCATCGCTCGGGGGTGAACGTTGGGCAGGGCCATCCTACCTGAATTCGCCCCCACCACAAGCACTCCCAATGCCCCATTTCTTATCATCCCCATCCCCATCCCTGTCCCCAGCTGGGGAGTGCCCTCCTCCCACACCAAACCACTCTGTTGAGTCTGCGACAATGGAGCTGCTTCGCATGCTCAACATTGAGGTTGATAAGTAGAATCTATGTAAGGAGTTGACATCCCCGGCCTCAGCTCGAGACCATGGGTGTCCACCTAAAATCGGTGGGCTGAGTTATGATATTTCTATTGCTGGTTAGGGTCTTATTCAATGCCAAACATTTGATAGGTCTCTGACAATTACACTAATTCCTTTGTGAGGAGGTGTAAAAGACTATAGATTGACCAATGGAGTAAACCCTTCCAAGTCTTGTAAAAAGATGACTCTAGATTGACCACCAATGTTACTTTTTAAGAAGGGTTTATGTATAGAGATGGCTGCATGTAGGGGATGTGTGAAGCTGCCATGAAGGTGGGTGCACACTTAGTCTCTAATGGAGAGGGCTACCACCTTTATGGTGTGAAAGCTACCTTTACAAAATTGGTGTACACAATAAATTAGGAGAAGGCTACCTATTAGGGTTGAGTGAAAGCTAATGTTGAGGTAGGTAGGTTTATATGCTTCACTTCTAACAAAGATGGCTACCACCCTAATAGAGTGAAAGTCACCACATTAACGGCTTCCTATTGTGAAGCTAGTACACCGTTTAGTAAATATGGAGAGGGCTACCCATGAAGGAACGTGTGAAAGCTACCATTAGAGAGTAGTTGTGCACTTAATTTTTAATGGAGAGGGCTACCGCCCTTATAGTGTGAAAGCCGCTATACAAACGTCCTTTTAAAAAGAAAAGAAAAAAAGAAAAAAGAAAAAACTTTGTATTGAGTTAGGGTTCACTCCATTCAACTTCAAGTGCAAAGGCTTGAATAAGACCAAATGATATTATATTTTTATACATTGATCTTGCACTACCCCTCTGATGATTTCCAAGTCTTAGAAAGGACAATGGGCAGAGGGGTAGATATCAACCTATTAATTTGGGTTTATTTGGTTACAGATACGCAGGTGAAATAGGTGCATGCAGCAGATAATCAGGCTAGCCAGGAAATTGCCTAGAGGTGATGTGATGTGATGTGAGTGCACTGAAGACCTATGCTTCCGAGGAGCATGAAGAACCACTTGGAACAAAATGAGCTTACATAGCTTATAATCTGTTGTATTATAAAAGGGAACAAGTTTTGGTTGCATCTTCCGTACGTAGTAGTAATTAGCATTTCTCTTGTATTCTTGTATCCTTTGTGGCCTTTTTACATATTCCCTGAGTCCTGACTATTCCAATCTTGCATTTCTCTTGTCATAAAATTCATTTTTTCTGTCTAGGCCTCACTTAATATAAGGATGCCAAAACTTTCATCAATCCAATCTTTCATGCTAAAAATTTTACAAAAACTGAACTTTCATCAATCCAATCTTTCATAAATTTTTTATTTATCCCATAATTCTTGTTTAATATTTGATTTGAATCTTTGTTTAAGTTTCACCATGAGCATGAGATGTTCTCTCTGAAAATGGTTAAAGATAAAATCTTCATGTTTGAGACTGCTCTGGTTCTTGTCTTTGGGTTGGGCTTCGTGAAATGGGCTTCCATGAGGGTTGGTTTGGGTTGGGTCAGTGTAACCCAATTAGTCCAGTTTTCCGTTGGCCGACTAAATCCCAAGTAGCAGCACAGATAGGGTCGTCAGTTGATACTTGAGTTGAGAGTGAAAGCAAAGCAACAGCAGAGAGAGAAGAGAGAAGAAAATGGGAGCGATAACCAGCGCAGTGATAGCGATAGTGGGGGTGGTGCTGGGTTGGATAACCATCGAGATTGCCTGCAAGCCTTGCCTTGAGCAAGGCCGCCAAGCCATCGATCGCAATCTTAACCCCGACTACGATCCCGATGACGACGTCGTTTCCTCTGATATCCGCGCCCCTCTCAACCCTAACTCCACCGCCACCACCATCCGTGTCGAGGTGGAGGAAGATCCCAAGGCCGCTGCTACCTCCACTTCTGCTCATTCCGATGCGCTCAAGGCCGTCTGATATTGCCTCTTCCCATCACCATCGTACACTCAGTTTCCTTCTGTAAAAAAGAAAAAGAAAGACAATTCAATTATGGATGAGTGAGAATGATGTGAAATTGAAATCGAATTGTGTGTTTGTATTGGAATTGGATTTGGATCTGTAATCTGTTTATGATGCAATGTACTGCTGCTGCCTTCTTCCGTTGGAAAAGCTTCTTCCAGTTGTATTGTTATTGCAAATCAACTATGATCCGTCACCGTCTTTACAGCAACACTTAATTTTTGGATGAATCAAATGTGTTTATAAGGAAGATCCCTAATGCTAATGCACATTCTAAAGAACACGGCAAATTGATCTGACTCACATCTGCCGCCAAAATCGTTGTGTTTACCAAAATAAAATAAATAAAATTTTATTAGGAGTTAAAGTTTGTAGTTCATACGGGAAATGCTTTTGTTGATATTTGCATGGGGAATACGTAGCATAACTCACAAGACACCCATAGGAGGATAATAGAGATTTTTTTTTTTTTTTTTTTTTTTTCTTTTTTTTTATACATAACCCTAATATTCAGAAATTGAAAACAGAAGAAGAAGAAGAAAAAAATATCTGCAATTGATTTCTTCAAGTACTAGACTCTTTCGCAGGAATATAAATATGAAAGGGGAGACTAAAATGTTCTTTACAATCAGTATTGACCGCAACAAAAATTGAAAAAAAGAGGAAAAAAAAACTACCAAGGTCACTGTACATAAAAACAAAGACAGACAGGGGACTGGACTTCACATCCTGTGCCTCTTCCCTCTTCCCTCCTGTTCCTCTTGAAGATAGAAGAGATATTCCCGTGTCATTTACATGGAGAAACTTCAAAATCTGCTGCAATTTTTTTCTTTTATTTTCTTACGCTAGGTAGTTGTAAATTTGAGGGTTGTTCTTGTCCCGTTCTAGGTACTCCCTGTCAATCAGGCTTTCAATCCTTTTCTTCAAATCTGCCGGCTTTATCGGAAATTTAAGCTGCTCACCGAAACACACACCAACACATAGTTTCGCTTAATTTAAACTCATTCCTTATTTTTAGAACATAAATACTTATTTGTGAAGTTGAATAAAATCAAATGCCTTTTTTTTTACCTGTTGGAACAGTTCTGTTATCAGAAGAGTGTGGCTCAGCACCTTCCTAGTTTTCATTATCCGAACAATAGCAGCATCAACCTGCAATACATAAGGTAATGCAACATTTTCAATTGGAAAGACGAGAACAATCTGTTCTGGAATTTGGGATGAAACCATCATGTGTGTATAGGACAAATCTGGAAAATACCAAAAAAAAAAAAAAAAAAAAAAAAAAAAAAAAAAAAAAAAAAAAACCTGATATTGGCGGTCTTGAAATACTCTTTCAGTGGTGCTCGTGTTCTCCTCCACTGTTTCCTTCATTTGGATTGCATTCACCTGCATCCATCAAATAAAAGGTTCATCCTGTGAGTGGCAATGTAAAACAGAACTCCAAAATAAAATCATCCTGTAGCGAACATGAGAGTGATGTATTATAAAGTGAGGTGAAAATTGACAGTCTATGACGTTCGGACATAAAAATTCACTTTTGAAACTCCTGAGGCCTATAATAAGCTTTGTGCTTATGCAAGCTTGGTGCCTTCTGATAACCATTGTTAATTTGTTACAACTGGACATACAAACCAAAGTACCTTTATGCGGTAGAGAGGAGCAGTAAATCCGTCATTGAATGTAAATGTATCGTCATCCTCCACATCTCTCCCTTTGGGAAACTGTAACAAAAATTTAAAAAGGGAGAAAACAAAAGGCAAGGATAAGAGCTGACATCTCCAATTATGTTACAGATAAATATTTTACATACGAATCTGGCAATGAACGACCACCCGGCCACCCACCTTTTGCAGGACGCGAACTTTTCCACATGCAAGGGACTGCAGAGTTCTTCTCAGTTCCTTGTCCTCAATGCCAGTTGAATCCTTAATGTCTTGAAGGCTTAGCTTCTCAGCATCGTTAAACAGCATCAACACAACAGTCTGGCAAACAAAACAACCATACTTAATCCACTTGAACAGGTAGAATTTAAAGAATTCTCCAGGAAAACAAATAACTAATGCTGATAAACAGAAGCACAGGGCCTAGACGCAACCAACCTGAAACAGAGAAACTGCAAGCTCCTTTTTGCCCTTGGGAAACTCTGCTTTCAACACACAGTGACCTAATGAATTTTGCCACATTAAACGCCTACCGCTGTACTTGCTTAAGTAAAACTCTTTGAAGATATCCTATTGCACAAAGAAAAATGAGTGAGAATATTGTACAAAGCACATTAATATTGCCAGCAACAAAAGCATCTGTTGTGTAGCATGTACTGAACCTGGTAGACATTCAATTCATGAGGAAGTCTAACATCCATGGGAGGATATGTTGGCCAGTACCTGTACCCATCCCCAAAAAAAACCACTTAAACTCGTTACCGACATAGAGAGATAAATAATGTAGATAAAATTAAGGCAAGATTTAAGTAAAGTTCTTTACAATGTTCACATATAAAATGTATACTTTCAATTAATAGATATACCCCCACAAAAAACAAAACAAAAAAAAAAAAAAAAAAAAAAAAAAAAAATATTTATAATACTATATATTAATAGATCAAAATGATGCAAGAAAATGACATAATTGAACCAAAATGTCACCAAACTTTATGGACAGTTTAAAACTAAACAGATTCATTTTATTACAAGCTACACTTTTCAATTTCAATCATATTTTAAGGGAACATATTAAACACAACGCAAGGAACCAAACCAAAACTTTTCGCATGCCACATTCTAAAACAAAAATGAAAACCAAACTTTAAACATACCCAGTCGTAAGGACATGAACACTCATCTCAATCCCTGACGGGAGCTTTGTCCTGGCCTGGGATGATTGTTTGAAGGACTCATTTATCTCTTTTGACAGTTCAATATCCTGCAAAAGTGTACATGCAAAGCATATCATTAAACATTATGTAGAAAACTAGCCACAGAAGCTCATACAGTTAATCACAAATCCATCTCTACATAAAGTGAATATGATTCTGAGAAGAAAGAAGAAGGAGGCTGATACATAACATGACCATGAATCCCAAACTAGCTACAGGAGCTCAAAAACAAATGGACTTGTTACTAATATAGAAGGTCAACATAGTGCAATTATTTGTCTTTTTTCTTATGTTGCCCACCAAAAGAAAAGAAAAGACACACAACACATAAGATGGGCAAAGTTGATCTCCACCAACACACTCCACCACATCCTTCTATTTTTCTTCATTTTGTAACAACCCTATACATCCTCCCTATTTTCCTTCCCCTTGTACTAAACATAGTAACTACACGAGCAAAATGGTTGACTTAAAAACCACGATGTGTGTAACACATATTAGGGAAAAAATAATAATGACCCATATTCAATGCGCAGATTTTGATCAGCCAATGGGTATCACATTTCTTCAAGTAGAAACATACATTTCATGTATCCAAATAATGCTTGCATTGCTAATGAAATCTATGATCTGTGACAAAATCCTCGCATGGTCAAGCCAAGAGAACCAGCCAAAAAGAAAAACAGCCAGATAGTTAAGCCTGCAGAGTGTCTCAATAATACTATTCTAACTACAGCATCTTCTAGCAAGTAACCGGGTATAGCTAAAATTAGCACAAGAACTCATTCAAACATAACAGTTAAACAAGCCTGTAAAAGATCCTTTCGTCATTAAGCATCCTATAGAGATAAGCAAACATTGGACCCACAATCAAAACCAGATGGTCTGGACCTCATTTTCCCAAAAAAATTGCACTCTAATAGTCAATCTGATGCGTCTTGTCAGTCCGAAGAAAAATAGGTAAGAGGCTGGTCAGTTGGGCAAATTCTGCCATCCCTAGTTTTGGCATGAGATACTGGGAGGCAATATTAACTAATCACTAATCTTGAACATATATTTCGTATGATTTAGAAAATCACACACCTTAAACATTCCTTCGAGTTTGTTCGTAAACTGACTGCCACACTCAGTCTTCAACTGTACAGAGATAAAACTTTGTTAGTACAATCAAGTGATGGTGAGTTCACTATGCATATAAGTCGTAGAAAAGAAAACTTCATCATTAACCTTGGAAATCATAGATTTCTCTGCGTCGATAGAAGCACTCTTTCCCAAAAGTAGTCTTTTCGCAAGATCCTTCTTATAAAATGCTTCAAATACATCCTTCCCCTGGATTAGCAAGAAAAAATCTCTCATCAGTTTCATTTTGCAGACACACAAACAGTTTGCAAGTATCAATAAGAGAAAACATGTACAAAACAACTGCTAGTTCATACAGTGAGGAGGTCAACTTATTGAATTTGGTTATTAACACTTCAATCTTACCTGTATAAACCTGAATAAAACCAAGACTTTATCCAGCATTCCCTCCAATTCCTCTTCAGAAGTACCCTTATTCCCAGCACGAAGCTTCTCGTCCAAAAACTTTGCAATCAGCTCGGCAGGTCGGTTCTATCAGAGATTAAAAAAAAATTCTTGATCAAATATATCTTTTGTCTACATAAATTAGCTATGATGAGCAGCACAATGAAATTGAATTCCAAACACACCGGAAAAAGTAAGGAAGGGGGGAATGTACATGGAATCAAGCTAGTTAGATTCAACTGTGAGACAAAAAGATTTTATACATGGTTACTTAGGATAGAAAGTTATAACCGAAAGCATGGTTATTTATGATAGGAATGTTATAACCAAAATATATCTGATTCCTCACCAAGTAAAACATACTTTCACATCCATGATCAGTTATTTGCTTAATTGTGCTATCATACCGTGCAACACTTGAAACCACATCGTAGATGATGGGTTCATTTCCTTATTTTATTGTTAAAGAAAATAAACACATAAAACAAGGGGGGAAAGTGAATTGGATGAAAAGCCACCTGACGGAGATTAATAAGATGTTCAAATGCATCCTTTA